TCTCCTCTTAATGAAATATATATATATATATATACTTTTTATTTATTTATTTATTTTTATTTTTAACGAATTTATTATGCAATCAATCTCACAGTTTTAAAACACCTCTGATATAATGCTCACAATGTTTAACTATAGTCGATTTTCAAGACAGTATTTAGTTAATCTTCACATCCAATCATCATCTAAACCTTCTACGTTCACTTCCAAAAATTTAAACACGAAAATCGAAATTATAACCTCTCGACCTATTGTAATTAGTCTTACAGTGTGTCTGGCTGGTAAATCTACTGTATGACTGGTAACCTCTCAATCTTGGAGTGTCGATTTTCACTTAAGTCGACTCTTAAACTCTACCTGAACTCTTCGTTAAGGTGATTATTTTATTTTTAAACTGTTAAACGCATCTTGTAAAATAAATAAATAAATATTTTACTCCATCAAAGTTAATATAATATAATTTTTTAACAATACCTTATCCATTCCACAGTTGTAATTGAATTAATATATAGTATTATTTTTATTAGAAAAATCCACTTTTAGGGTACAGCAAAAAATATTTAATATACAAATTGCTTATAGATAATTTAAAAATCTTTAGATCATATTTATTAATAAATGAAATAGTTTTGCTATAAATAATTAAGTTTTTTTAATTAAAAAAAGCGAAGAAAAATATAAAATAAATAAATCCATAATAACTCTTGCCAAAAAAATTTAAAGTGGGCCCCACATAATGGGATTCTTGTCACACTTGCATTTTCTATAATGTATAAATCAAGAAATTTAAAAATAAATAAATAAATAAATTATGTGAGGAGTGAGTGAGTTTTACTGTATGTTCACATGAAAATTGTTCGCCAATAATTGCCCATTGATTATTCAAATTTATTAAAATTATTTTTCTAAAAATAAATTATTAAAGTCTAGCCCTACATTGGTCCAAATCTGCCTTAAATTTGAATTTAAGGGTATTATTTTAATTAAACCAATCTGATCCATAGTTTACTCGAGATTTGACCGATTTTTCAATTAATTAATATATCGTTAACGAATCCTAAACTTATTGTCGGGAACATGTATTTTTACTCATTGTATCTATGTACTAAACACAATGCTAGAGGTTTAGAGGTACGATAGTCATAAAATTCAAATTTATATCGATAATATATCGACTAATTTTGAAAAATAATACCAACTCTCACAATTGCACTCTGTTAAGACTTGCAACGTGATCGTGGGGTATTTACTCTCACCTTAAAGTAAGTCAATCAACTAGAATTTGGGTTGTCGTTGGCACAGACAACGTATGTTCAAGTCTTCGACCCTATTCATGAAAATAAAAATTTTAAAATAATGATAAAAAAAAGTTTTAGAAAACGTTCCGAAATAGGTTTTAGGAAATGGATGTTATTGGTTACTAAGCAAATAAGCAACGAACTCCGAATTTGATAGTGTATGATTGGTCCATGATGTCAATTTTACCGCCACATCATCACATCAGGTATCTTATTTCGACTGAAACTTCTCTGTTTTAACTCTGATTTGAGTGATTAAAAAATACATTTCATTCCCAAACTTATATATACCGTGGACAATTCAATATACTGATAATTAAGTAAGTGTAGGTTTGTTATCATCAAAATATCAATTAATTAATTAAATTTTAAATTTTAAATTATATAATTAGTAGATATATAAAATTAAAAATATAAGTTAAAATGAAATAATATAATTTCTATTTTTGAGAAATTGACATTTTAAAAGAAATAAAGTCAAAGAAAATGTAATTGTCGTATATCTTTCAAGTGCCAAAATTGAAAAAAAAAATAACGAGTCTACGAATCAACTTATATATAGCTTTGTTTTTATGACCATAGTTTTGTAGCTTTCTTTAGATAAGAACGAGTTTATCTTGTTATGAACTTTCAAAAAATAATAAAATAAATATTTTTGGATGATCGAGTAATATTTATATTTATACTATAAATATATTATTTTAAAAAAAATTAAATTTTATTAGCAACCAATAAAAATTTTCAAAGAAAACTAACCCAATAATTTTAACCATGTGAAATAATCAATGCAAGTTGATGTAATTTTTTAATTTTATTTTTTTTAAATGGTAATTATTGTTAAGCATATTTTATTTACTGAAGTAAAAAACAAAGGGCAAAAATGTCTTTGAAACTATATACTAATATTTACCATGTCACGTTTTATAATCTCAAGCTTAGAAATTTAAATTTATCAAATTCATTGATTTTTTTAAATATTCAATATAAAATAAAATTAGAAACGTTAACTTTTTGCGAGGAGGGGCTTGTGGGGTCATTCTCTTATTTCAACTAAGTTTTGGACTTTTTTGTTAACAAAGAGAATAAGTGATTGGTTGAACTTGGCCGACATCCACTGCCATTTACTTCCAAAGTCAAAGTCTTGTGAGCCTCTTTGTTCATCCACGTGTCTAGCCTTTAGAGAGAATTTGATGTGACCCATGTTCGAGAGCCTCACATTTCTTTAGACTAACCCAATTGTGTGGTTGCACCGAACCCGAATGAATTGGTTCGAGTTATTTAAGTCTATTTGTCAGTAATAAAAGATAAATACCCGAAATAAAAATTTATAAATTTGGGTTGGTTTGGTTCAACCATATCTAGTTTTAGGAGAACTCATGAACCAACTAATGCATTAAATTTTCATTTATCGGGACTCGACCCAACTCAAATAAGTTCATAATCTAACTCAAACCCGAGTTAATAATGTATTTATTTTATTTTGTTAATAGATATGCATTAAAAGACTATATATCTATTGGGAATGATTTGGATCCCATTGTGATGATAAGTAAGTCAATATTTTAAGGTTTATAGCTGAATTTTATATAAAGATTTTGACTAAGTTTGGTTTAATATATATTTTTGTTGGATTACAACTTTTGCTCTATAAAGTGGAAGTCTTAATCCAATTTTGCAACCTTTCTTCTGAATAAATCCCAAATCATTCTTAACTTTTGTAAAGTGTTCGTTTCACAATCTTGTTCCTGCCCTTTAAAATTATCGTGCTCGTGAAATTAATTACTGTGGACAAACTCATAGTTTTTTACAGAAAAAAAATCACTTGGTAACAATTTGAGCCGAACTTAGTTAATAAGACACTAATTATCATTTCAAAAGTCGAAGATTGATTCATTTCATGCAATTTTTAAGTTGAATAAATAAAAAAAAAATTAAAAGAGAATATTTAAAAGAAAATAGTTATTTAAATATTGTTTTATTTTATAGAATAATTTTTCAAAAATATTTGTGCTAATCGGTTATTATTGAGAACGTTTTTTTTTTTTTTTTTAAGAAATTGGGATTTGTTTAGGATTTTTTTTTAATACATTTAGAAATAATTAAAAAATTATTTATTGGAACAACAATAAAATTATTAATTTTTTGCTTTAATATTATTATTTTATTTTCAAAATTCTAATGACATTTTTTTTAAAGAAATTATTTTATAATTTAATTGGTACCATTGACTTTTGTTATTTGTGTAAATTATATTAAATAATAAATAAAAAAGTAATTTAACGTTATAGATTAACGAGTCTAAATAGTTTAAATTACGAAAAAGAAAATGACAACAATTTTCACTTGATTTAAAAAAAAAAGTAGAGGTCGAGCATTTGTAAAACATAATAATGATGTTTCACGGACTATACTACTCATCTTAAATTGACCTTCAATTATGTGACGAGGTGTCGATCTAGTATGATTCAAGTTGTCGTACATTAATGTTATTATTATTTTTTATTCGAAGGAAAATAAATAAAATATTTATTTATTATATATTGTTTTATTTATAAGATGTGCAATTTATTCTAATAAAATTTTAATTTACTTTATTTAAAAAAAAACCCATAAATATTGATAAAAGCTAATAAATTTACTATCAAACTTTTTAAAATTTCAATAACTAACAAAATATCTCAAAAATAGCTTTAAGTTAAAAAAAAAAAAAAAAAAAATTAATCATTGTTTTTTAAATATCCTTAATAAATACCTTTTAATATTAAAAAGTGTTGGTTAATAATTTAAATTTTTAAAATTAAAAGAAAAACTTAAAAAAATATATTAATGGGTACCACGTTTTTTAAAAATAACATTAAAACGTTTGTAGGAGAGGTTAATAGACAGTATTCGTCGATATATTAACGGTAACAATTTGATTATATATATATATATATATATATATCATATAATTTTTTTTCTTCAATAAACATTTTACTCGTCGTTTGTAGATTTTTTTGGTTTTGTTAACTAAATGTCAAATGGCTCACCAACCCATTTTATAATGTCATGATTTCTTATCTAGAAAAAAAATTCCACAATCATGCTTTTACCCTATGACTCACAAAATGATAGCAAATCACATTTTATTTTAATTCTTAAATAATTATTTTATTTTATTTTATCATCTAGATCGTTCTTTAAAAAATCAAGGTGATTTTCTTTACGTATCAACTCATTTAACTTAAGGTCTAAAATTGATCGACACGAATTTTTTTTTAAATTAACTAATAAGTTGAGGAACAAATTTTGTTATATTGATCGATGATATATGTTTTAACCCATTGGATTATGTTCACGTTCACATTAATATATAGTTATTTATTTATTATGAAGCAAACTTATTAGATTTTCATATTTAAAAATATTTCTAATAATTACTATTTCATATTTATTGATTTGGTATTTGTTCGTTTTAATTACATAAAATGAAATGTTATATTAAAAAAAATTATGGAAAATTGGAAGTTAAATAGCCCAAATTTCAAGCCCAAAAGAGTGTCATTGGGTTGTATCTAAAGCCCAGGCCCAATAATCACTTAATGGTCTCATATATTTGATACCACTATGGGCCGGGTTTTGTCTAAAACGACGTCGTAGGATTGAGCGCAGCAATTCGTTTTACAAATTCGAGGATCGTCTCATTTTATCTCTGCAACTGATTTTTGGCGGGGATTCAACTTCAATTAGGAGCTGTTCTCCGGTTCAACCGCTGCCGGCCGGCGAGAATTATGGTTTTGCTGTAGGTGGATATGAAGTTTTAGGAAGGAAAAGAGAACGAGAAATGGAAGGATTGGTGGTTCGCTCGCCGTTCGTTTCAACAGGGAAGAAGCTTCCCTTCTCGCCTTTGCTCGATTCTTTGCCGAGTTGTTCTGCTTCTGGCAGTGTAATTGCTAAGACCGTACTGAAATCGCGTAATTTTCTCTTGCATTTCCTCTGTTTCTCTCTAATTATCTGGTTTTGATTTTGATTTTGCGATTTCCAAATGCTGAGTGTTCGCATCATCGGTAGATCAGTTCCTCATTGTTAAGTGAAACTGATTGTTTGCGAGTCTCTTCGAGTAATTTACGGATGATTATATTTCCGAATAACTTAATCTTTTCGAATGCGCATTCTTTGCATTCTGTGAGCATATTGAGCGAGTAATGAGTACGTTTACAGTGAAATGTAGAAGAGTTACGAGATTGAACGGGACGCATGGATAAATCAGAGCACATTCGTCGAATGTAAGTATTGGATCCAATGGATACAGGCACGGGGACACCATGTTATTTCCAGTAGTGCACCTGTTGATACCAGTTCATCTAAAACGTGAGTTAAATTCATTTTTGTTTCTAATTTTTCTGATTTGAGTTAATACCAGTTCATCTAACCATGTTATCTTCCATGAGACATTTTTTCTATAATTCCAATTGATTCCGGTTGAGAAATTTTTAAAATATCCAACGTCTCGCCTAATGATTTATTTATTATCATTTAAAATCAAAACTCTACTAATCTGGTCTTTGGGATTTCTCTTCCATTAGATTATTTAACATAAACAGTGAATTTGACCTGTAACCATGCTAACTGCTTCAGTAGTTGCTGTAATCAACGCCATCCTTAAGAATTTGTTGTGTAGAACTGATTTTCTTGCCTTGCTTTGTAGTTTAGTGAATCCGAGATGCATTTGACTCTCAAAGGAACCGATAGCTCTTCTTCTTCCTCACTCATTTCTAGATCTTTTATGTTTTGGCAGTGAGAAGTCTCCAAATGGATTGCCTTATCCTCTTTCTATTGCGCTAGTAATAATTGGGTGCAGTTTAGTATTCCCTTTTAAATTTTATCATCAAATCCAACTAAGTTCATTCATTGTATGATTACAAAAGAATTACAACTGAGAAATATATAAATTTCATAAAACTAGATTACTTTTGACTTGCAGATGCATTTGATAGGAACTATAGACCACGGTTTTCAGTAGCTTAGATGCACAATGAACCTCAGCAATGTTTCTGCTCCATCTGTGACGTGCTGGCCAGGAGGAATGAGCGACCGCACCTCTGCAATCCCACGTGCGTTCTTGAACTTGCCTGTTCCTCCGGTCACTGACAAATGCGACGAGGGGCTACCAATCCTGTATACTCCATAGAAGTTGAGACTGTCACCATATTCTCCTCCTTCAACCATGGCTGTAAATACCATCATCTGCGTAGTTCCATCAGCTGAACTAGCCACATACACCCCTTGTGCCTTGCCAATTGACTGCGAGCCCAACTCTGGTGCGATGGTTAAGATGTCGTCGATGACGGTAATCGTTCCAAAGCCTAGTCCCAACCCATCAGGTCCCAATTGGGTGTGGGGTATATTTTGTGGGTTGGGATTTCCAGCAAAAGTAGTGCCAGACAAGCCAGTCCCTAGAGGGATCCCATTGATGCCATTAACAGTAGGGAGAGCACCATTGGCATTTGGGATTGCAATACCATCATCTGGGGGAAGGAAGTCTATAGGTGTTGCAAAGGGTACTTGACCAGTGTATATGTTCCCCAGCAGGCCAGTAATCGGTCTCGCCGTTGGGCTGCCACCACCGAAAATGTCATGCATATAAAATTCAAGGACCGGTTCGTGTCCCCCGGCATCGGCAGATTCACATGCCACAAAATGCACCACGATGATTGCCATTGCAAGGAAGGCTGAGAAAGATGACTGCCTGAACATGTTGCAGAGTCCGTATGAACTCTTAGATCACAATTCTTGTGGTGATATGCAAATAGGTACGAACTCTACTCTTTATGTAGTGCTGAAAATATTAGTCAATCTTGGATTTTGGAGTTGGTCTGACCCTCCAAAAATGGTGAAGTTGTTGGATTCTATTCTTCAGTTCTTCGAATTAGCTTTAGCTCTGGCCATTATTTTCAGAATTTCCATTGTTGAGTAGGTAAGCTGCAGGGCTTTGAATTATTCAGTGTGGAGGGTTTAACCAACCCAAATACATCAATGTCAGGGTCTTGCTTCTTCTTTATGATCCCCGACCTCTGCCCGTCCACGCTGCACAGCCACACGGCCCAATTGAGGTAAGGTTACACTGTTGTCTCGCGAGATTAGTTGAGTTTTGACATATTTTTTTTAAGATGATAACAAATGATTATCCTAATCCATACTCAAATCGGCTTAATTAGAACATCTTAAGTTTGTGTCAATGTGAGTATCTAACTAAACATTGATTAATCGGTTCCCGCAGCAGTGAAGAAAGGGAGAAAGCTAGGGCAGAGACGATCGAATTACTAAGAACAATGCCTTGGCGACAAGAAATTCTTCGCCGGAGAGGAGATCTGCGCGGATTTGGAGTTCGGAGGAATTGTGCAAGCGATGAATTCCCTCGCTTGTACGTTTGGACCCATAACTTAAAGAAAGCTGCTCTGATCAGAGATAACCTGCCGGACGCCGACAAGTTGGCCGGGATATACAAGCGCCTGTACGAGCAGCGGCAGTGGAGAATTCTAACTTTTGACTACTCGTGTTAATAATGGCTTGAATATTGTATCTAACATAGAGGCAAGTCCCTGACATTAATGTATATCTGAATGATAAGTGATATTAACAAGTATATGACTTGAGAAAAACAAATTCACTCAACTTATAAATTTCAAATCCTAATGCTTGCTAGTAAGAAACATATACATACATTTTCTCAGGAAAAAACCAAAGTCCACTCCCATTCCTTTTCCATGCTACCAAAAATTCTGTTAACAGTAAAACGACAGCCTCTACTAGAAAGAGCAAACAAGCATTTTTCTCACCAGCCATTACAGTGGCCCCGTCCCGCTATCCTTGTCGGCATCGGCTATGCTTGAGTACGAGGTGAAATGATTCGACATCTTCCAGCTCCAATCTTCATTCCTTGACACAAACATTCTTGGCCATCTGTTTATCCTCACATAGTGTTCTCTCATCTCCCCATCGCCGATGAAACTTGTAACCGTGGAAAAGCAGCATTCATGCCCACCCCATACTCTATCATCAGGATCAGCAGTTTGGCTCCCATCAGGATGGAAATATCGGCGCATCAGAGGGTGGCTACCTTGCCAATACGGATCAAGATTCCGCCAGTATATGGGAGCTTCCTGAAGGGAACAGAAATTAACTCACCAGACATTATGAATCAATTTGCCCCTCATCAGGAAAGGTGCCTTAAAGATTTGGACGTGGATGTTCAGTCAGTTGCACATTATAACTTGAGATACATTTGCATCTAAGCAGAAAATTGGTAGCTTGGACTAAAACCAGCCTGAACTCGAGCATGATAATAAAACCAAGCAATTGTACCTCTGAAAAGATATTCAGGATCAAGCAGTAGACACCTTTTGGGATATACCCTCTAAATCACTAGTACGGCCATCAATATTGTGAGTACCAGCATAGAGATTTCACGAAGAAACATAGACACGGCCATGACACCACACAAATTTGAAAATGGACGCATTATATACGATTATCATGCTCCATAGACAGTTCCAAATCCAAGTGGTATGGGAGTCCTTTTTTTTTTTTTTTGGGTGCATGCTAGATGTTTTTTTTTAACACAATCACTAGCATGGCTATCTAAGTTGTGAGGATCATCCATGAAATTTGTATTGCTAAAGCATCCACCACCAGCCATCTAACCTCTCCCAGTGAGTAGGGCACACTTAAATAAATTATGAATATTTCTGATGGAAACCATATAGTTGGTGTGCAACTAAGACGAGGATAAAATTAGATGTAGATACCATGAATCTTCATAAGATGCCTAAGGAATGGTGTAGAAAAGATAAAAGGTGCTCAAATGTGTAGAAAATATGTAATAACATAAGCAGGTTTAATCAATCATAAAACACAAACGTAAAAGAATTCCATTCAGTTAATTTAGAACTTCAATATCCTCTTCTCCTAACCAGGTTTCATATTATCTAATTCATTACATAATGGTTAGCGTCCAGAAAAAAATGTTTGATGACTGCATAAAAGACCAGCATACCTTATTGAAGTGAAATTGCCAGGCATGAGCACATAAATCCTCCCTCATAATGCGAGTCTGATACAAGAAGTTAAACCCATGAAAAACGATATCAAAGTAATACATGCTTCTCATTATGCCATGCTTGGGAGTACATGTGTGGAACATATTCTTTTTTCTAAATTATTGATGACTAGATTCAGTAGATGCACTTTGTCATCCCAATTGAGTTCACACAACTATACATGGAGTAACACACATATACAAGTATATGTACAACATACTCCCGCAACTATTGCTTGGGGGTGGAGAGAGAGACTTAACTCGTTTGCCATCCATGATGGATAATGAATAGGCAGCCAGCCTTGAAAAACTTCGGGTTCGTGCCAATCTAGGGATATGTGCTTTCCCGAGCCACAGTTCCATGCACTAAGAGAAAATACAATAAACTTGCTTACCAAATGTTCAATTTTACAGTAAACAGTAAAGAATGTTAGTTTTTTTCTGCTACACCATTTCAAATTTGTAGGATTTTAAATCATCTATCCCTGTGTCTAATAACATACATATGACAGGCAGTCATAACTATCCCCTGGCATAACCAGGGATGGGCTATCCAGTAAGAAGGATGTGAATTTCTTGGCTTCAACTTCAACCTTGTTCATATAACATCTAATATTTGCATCTAAACAAATAAATTAAAACGTATATTCAAATTCCAAATATTTTCTAAAAGCCTAAAAGAAGACATGAATTTAAAAAAATAATCTACAATGCATCTTTCAAACACACCTAAACAAGCACTTGACATTGTGTTGTAAAATACACACACCTTCTGGGCAGGAACATAGAGACGGATATAGGTCAAAACTATGAACATACAATTTCGTATCCATCGAAGGGCGAAAGCAAGATAGGATAACCTCAGAATTTCTCCTAAGGATTTCATGATGTCAAGCTTCCGTATCTTGGAATGGCTTTACGAGTAAGTACAGCACTAACTGTTTTAACATACTTCTCCCAGAAACACTTGCATCGTTTTTGATTATCTACCTCATAATTTTAACAGGCTTAGAACACTTTTTACCATAGAAATGTGTATATCACTCTTAGAAAGAGTCGAGGAAATGGTTTGAAGATAAATTTTCAACAACCGAGAGAAATAATTCGAATTAACATGAGAGATTGAACTACAAATCCACTAACTGCAGTTTGTTATGATCTATCTAGGTAGAAAAGGCTGAATTCAGCAGAAAAAACCACAGGCTACATAAATTTAAGATTCAAATCCGACGAGAGAGAAGATAAGTACGTAAAACAAAATAGAAGTGAAAGCCACAGAATAAGGACCCCGGTTCGACAACAAACGAAATGATTTTCTAATTGCAAAAACGAGTGAACGACTCCATTTGCACAGGGCAATGAATTACCACATCCATCAGAAGATCAAATACCAAAATCCAATTCCAGAGAATCGAATTTAATCACAGGCACCATAACATAAACGAATTAACGGAGTGAAGACGCTGACCTTCGAACTCCATAGGCGATCGCTGGAAGCTACGGCGTACCAAGATCGAGAGACAAGGAGAGAAAGTGCCACGCTGCGTGCATCAACGTAGCTAAGTATCGTCATTAACAGATCAGGACCTAAAACCTCGAAAGGATCTTGGAGAAGTTCATTACGGGTTCCATTTTGTTGCCCTTGTTCATCCGAGCCACTCTCTCGCTTCTTCTTCTTCCTTGCTTTCATCGGCGGCCGAAGGAAGTCACTTTGCGCCATAAATTCAAAGCTCAAGAGGCGAAAAGGGTTTTGGAGAGGATGGCGCTATCGGCGATTAGCAATGTGATCTGGCCGACAGTGCTAAGTAATGGCGGTTGCAAAATAGAAAGCCAGTTTTGTCCCAAAATATCTTCATAAAATATCTTCTTATTATATTAATAATAATAATATGATTTTTTTTTAAAAAAAAATCATTCTAGTTTTTTTTTTTTTTTTTTTAAAAAGCTTCTCAAATTTCTTCTCTCACGTTTTTTTGAAAAAAAAAATTAACAAAATAATTTAATTTTAAAGAAAACTTATCCATTTAAAATTCTTATAAATTTAGATTTTTTATTTCATTCAAATCTCAAACTAATGAATAATTTTTATAAATTTAAATCCTAAAAATTCACGAATGAATCAATTATATTAATTGTTAATAATTTTTATTTATTTTTTCACTTAATTTCATTTAAATTTTCCAAAAATTCAAATATAAATTAATTTTAGGAGACTAAAAATAAAATATTTGCAAAATTAATTTTTTTAAAAAAATATGACCAATATAATAAAAAAATTTCACGTAAATCTTTTTAAATAAGCATAAAAAAATCGAAAAAAAAAATTAGCAAATGAAGATTCTTGCATTTTCTCTACTTTTATCAAAATTAAGAATTTATGATAAAAATTGATATAATATTGTAAAAACAATTCATTTTAGTTTATTATTTANTTTTTTTTTTTTTTTTTTTTTTTTTTTTTTTTTTTTTTTTTTTTTTTTTTTTTTTTTGAGATGGATACAGCCGACACGCACGAGCTTACGTCATGGAGGACCATTTTCCACGTGCTAAAAAAAAATTTATGGATTACATTTAATATTGAACCAGACGCGCAAAAATGAACGTAGTGAACGCGCGAGCTTACTGGCCAGGCCAAGAAAACTCGCCGATTCATCGCGGCATTATAAAACGAAAGCTTAGTTGAGATCCCATAGCCATAACAATGGCGGGTGAGGTGAAGCTCCATGGAAATGGGCTAAGTCCGTTCAGTTGCAGAGTGGTCTGGGCTCTGAAGCTTAAGGGGATCCCCTACGAATTTGTACAGGAGAACCTTCCCCACAAAAGTGCTCTGCTTTTGCACTACAATCCAGTCTACGAGACCATTCCGGTGCTCGTCCATGCCGGAAACCCCATCTGAGACTCCATTATCATCCTCCACTACATCGACGAGACTTGGCCCGAGAACCCGCTGCTCCCCTCCGATCCGTTTCAGAGAGCTACGGCTCGCTTCTGGATCAAGTTTATTGAGGATAATCTAATATAGATGTGAAGTTACATTTATACCCTCAATCCCTCAAATTATAAATTCCGGCCAAACGTGGGCATCAGCAACCTGGTTGGTCTGTTGAAACGGGAGACTAACCCACCATATCTTAGTAAGTTTATCTTGCTTGCCATCTTCCCGTTTTGGTGTGAGTTTTTTCTGGGTCAGTAAGTCATTCATCGCCACATTATTCCTCTTGACCAGAAATCGTGATCCGCTCCACCAATACCTGGGTTAATATTATTAACCGTGCTAATCTTAGTATGGAAGTTATGACCTAGCTGCTATTGAAGTTCCATCTATGGATAAGACTTCTGTCTTAGTGTATACAAGTTCTTGAAAGTAAAAGAGCAATAACCAATTTCTTGTTTTCTCGAGAGGATTGGTATTGCTCCTTTTTTTATTAAAAAATTTTACATAACTTTTTAATTTATACTTAAAATTTTATAATATATACTTATATATATAGGGTAGGGGCAGATGTAGCCAAGTAGATCAATGTAGTGCAATGTGAACAGAGTTCATAAATTTTTAGTTATTTTTACTGATTCAAATAGATTTAAATTTTTTTATGAAATTTGTTGAATAAATCCTTAAAATAATGTTTTTTTAATTTATGAAGAAAAGAAAATCGATACAATCTTTAAAGGCCTTAAAATAATAATTTATGGAAATAAAATTTTAAATTATTAAATAATGATAAAAAAAAATGGTGCCACTGCCCGGCCAGAATTCCGCCGGGCTTCCTTCAACTGCCAATCCCGGCGGCCGGAATTCAACCAGTTTGACTCCCAATGACATGAATGAGAGTGTTGAGAGGGTAAAATTGTATTTTCACATACAAGTAAAAGTCAAATAGTCAAAAAAGACCTTTTAGAGGCTATTTTTCTGAAATTAATGAATAAATTTCGGGCAGATCCCTGTTCTTCGGGGAATGCTTCTTGCGGAAGGGGAAGAAGATAGGGCAAAGGTGAGAAAAGCGAGCTTGGAAGTGCTGCAGACGCTGGAAGTACAGGCGTTCGGCGACAATAAATTCTTCGGCGGAGATCAAATTAACATGGTGGATTTAGCCTGCGGGATTCTCGCGCGGTAGTTGCCGGTGTTCCAAGAGGTCGTCGGTATAAAGGTCCTCGAACCAGATACATTCCCTCGCACATTCCCTCGCCTCCATGCTTGGGCGGAGAACTTCCGGCAAGCCGCCGTCATCAGAGACAGTCTGCCCGATCACGCCCAGATGGTGCCCCTGTTCAAGATCCGGCGAGAGTACCTACTCCAAACTGCCCGGAAATGATTAATGGGATTTTCAATTTGATTGATGTAAAATTGTCCTCTCATGGATTTGCTGGGCTTCCCAAGAGGCCTCATACCAATGGAGTTAGTATTCCTCACTTATAAACCCATGATCATTCCCTAAATTAGTCGATGTGGAACTTTCATCATCCAACACTTCCCCTAATTTTCATTTTGGATGATGACATAGATTTGAAAAATGGAAAATGGAAACCATAGATTTGGTTTATAAACCCATGGTTTGTTACCAAACATGAAATCTATGTTTTTCCACGCTCACCGCACTATCATGAGTTTATAAGTGAGGAATACTAACTTCATTAGTATGAGGCCTTTTGGGAAGCCCAAAGCAAAGTCATAAGAACTTATGCTCAAAGTGGACAATATCATACCATTGTGGAGAGTCGTGTTCGTCTAACATGGTATCAGAGTCATGCCCTAAACTTAGCCGTGCCAATATATTGGCAAATCCTCGAATGTCGAACAAATGACTCTAAAAAGAAAAAAGGAGTCAAGTCTCCTTGAACGTATGAAGGCAATAAAAAATGACTAAGACTCCAAAGGAGTCAAGCCTCGATTAAGGGGAGGCGTGCTTTGTTCGAGGGGAGGTGTTGGATGATGAAAGTCCCATATCGGCTAATTTAGGGAATGATCATGCGTTTATAAGTGAGAAATACTAAGTCCATTGGTATGAGGCCTTTTGGGAAGCCTAAAGCAAAGCCATGAGAACTTATGCTTAAAGTGGACAATATCATACCATTATAGAGAGTCGTGTTTGTCCAACACTTTTAATTATTATTTTGTTTTAAATTTATATCTCATGTCGTTTTATTTGTAATATGTTATTTTAATATTGAAATGTATTTTCTAATTTTCTAAAATTTCGTTGGATGATTATTTAATTTTATGTTATATACATTATTCTATTTATAATTTTGTAACGGTTACAATAAGTAAATAAATAAAATTCCGACGAGTCTCTCCCAAGGACACCATCCCCTCTCATTAAGTCTAACTACCTCGTTTTGCCCACCAAAACACAAAACACAGAAACATAAGGACAACAAAAAACAAGAGGGAAGAATAGAGAGAAATGAACGATCGCAAAACCCTGTGACATCACCGTATAGTGTAGATAACGCCATGGAAGAGAGGACCAATGACTCAGGGAACACTTTGAGGAATTACTACTAAATGGTGTTGTAAAGTGAGATAGAAGGTTCAAATCTTGCCTCATGTCTCAACCCGAGCATAAGCTCTCATAGCTTTGTTTGGACTTCCCCAAAATGTCTCAACCCAACTCCTATAATTGTCTACTTTGTTTCATGGTTCAACAGGAACATAAGCTCTCATGACTTTATTTAAACTTCTCAAATGTCCCAACAAATCCCTATAATTTGGGGTTGGACTATTCTCCTTTTCAAGTTCAGGTGTTTGCAAACCAATGTAGTCAAATGAAAACGATCTTTATCCAAAATTTAAACTAATAAATAACATCACTCCACCAATTTATATATATATATATATATATATTATTATTATTTTTTGAGAGGGATATAAAGCTGACACGTACGAGCTTACGTAATGGAGTCCATTTTCAAAGTAGAAAAATCCCCATTACATTTAATATTCAAACACCAAGAAATCAACGCAGTCAACGCGCGAGCTTCCTGGCCAAGAAAACTCGCCAATTCATCGCGGCATTATAAAACGAAAGGTTGGTAATGATCCCAAAGCCATAACAATGGCGGATCAGGTGAAGCTTCATGGAAATTGGTTGAGTCCATTCAGTAGCAGAGTCATCTGGGCTCTAAAGCTGAAGGGAATCCCGTATGAATACGTAGAAGAAAATGTTGCCGACAAAAGTGCTCTGCTTTTGCAGTACAATCCTGTCTACAAGAAGATTCCGGTGCTCGTCCACGCCGGAAAGCCGATCTGCGAGTCCATGATCATCCTCGACTACATCGACGAGACTTGGCCGGTGAACCCACTCCTGCCTTCCGATCCGTTCCATAGAGCCACGGCTCGCTTCTGGATCAAATTTATAGAGGATAAGGTATACTTCCTCTATCATATTATCATATATTTTTCATTTCTAATTCTCATTCTTAACTTTAATCGATTGATTTCGGACAGAGCCTGGTGCTTTGGGGAGTGTTTATGGCGAATGGGGAAGACGATAGGGAAAAGGCGAGAAAGGCGACATTGGAAGTACTGCAGACGTTGGAAGAACAGGCGTTCGGGGACGAGAAATTCTTCGGTGGAGATGAGATTAACATGGTGGATTTAGCATACGGGATGCTAGCGCGGTGGATGCCAGTGATCGAAGAGGTTGTGGGTGTAAAACTCCTCGATCCCGACATGTTCCCTCGCCTCCATGCTTGGGCAGAGAACTTCCGGCAAGCCGCCGTCATCAGAGACAATCTGCCTGATCACGCTCAGATGGTGCCCTTGTTCAAGATCCGGCGAGAGCAGCTACTCCAAATTGCAAGGAAATGATTAGTGCGATTTTGTCTTCGCAATGTGT